AGTGGAGTGGAGAGGGAGAACGGTGCCAGTGAAGATCGACAAAGTGAGGATCTTTCTCCTAGGCTTGGCTGATAACGAAGCAGCCATTGCTCAGGCTGAAAGTGAAGAAACCAAGGAGCGTCTGTTTGAATCCATGCTCAGTGAGTGTCGGGACGCCATCCAGGCCGTGCGGGAGGAGCTCAAGCCAGATCAGAAACAGAGAGATTACACCCCTGAGGGGGAGTCAGGGAAGGTATCTAATCTTCAGTACCTGCACAGCTACCTGACCTACATCAAGCTGTCAACGGCAATCAAGAGAAATGAGAACATGGCTAAAGGTCTGCAGAAGGCGCTGCTGCAGCAGCAGCAGCCAGAAGATGACAGCAGCGCTCTCCCCGGCCGCAGCACCTGATCCGGCTCTATGACATCATTCTACAGAACCTGATGGAATTACTACAGCTTCCTGGCTTAGAGGACGACAGAACCTTCCAGAGAGAGATAGGCCTCAAGACCTTGGTGTTCAAAGCTTACAGGTGTTTTTTCATTGCTCAGTCCTACGTGTTGGTGAAGAAGTGGAGCGAAGCCCTTGTCCTGTACGACAGAGTCCTGAAGTATGCAGACGAAGTAAACTCTGACTCAGGAGCCTTCAAGAACAGCCTAAAAGACTTGCCTGATGTGCACGAGCTCATCACCCAAGTGCGGTCAGAGAAGTGCTCCCTGCAGGCCGCCGCCATCCTGGATGCAAACGATGCCCATCAAACGGAAACTTCCTCCCAAGTAAAGGACAATAAGCCTTTGGTTGAACGGTTTGACACCTTCTGCCTGGACCCTTCCCTCGTCACCAAGCAAGCCAACCTCGTGCACTTCCCGCCTGGGTTCCAGCCCATTCCTTGCAAGCCTTTGTTCTTCGACCTGGCCCTCAATCACGTGGCCTTCCCACCCCTTGAGGACAAGTTGGAACAGAAGACTAAGAGCGGCCTCACTGGATATATCAAGGGCATCTTTGGATTCAGGAGCTAACCAGGCTCTTCCTCGGGCAGGGGAGATTCTGACTTTTAGCTGTATTGTGAGAAAGCCCCGGCAAGTTCCATGCTATTAAATCCAGGTCTGCGTTGGCCCAGGGTGGGAGCTCTGCACCCTTAGCCCTGTGTTCCTATGTCTTGTGTTTGTGCACTTACATTCTTAACCCACGTGTGGGAAGGCCGCCCCGGTGTCTTTGGGCCCCTGTGTCTGCCCGCTGTGTCTCTCGTACCTCCTGGAGCACCACTGCCGTCTGGTGCCAGGGAGCCAGGGCCAGTTACCTGGTAAGGTGAGGTGCATTAGGGGCTCTGCAGAGGCACGTGGGGCCGTGGGTGTTTGTCCTGTGTCCTCAGCGTGGGTGTGGAAGGGACTCGCCCAGGAGCCCTCGAAGCTTTGCCCATGACTATGAAACATTGGTGGTGTCACTTCCAAGTTATGGTCAGCCTTATCCCCTCATTTCCAAGTAAACATTACGTTTCCAAACAAGCAGAGAGCTCTATTTTTAGAAGAAATATGTTACACTCAGAAATGATGAAACCAAATCTTATATTAAAAGCAAAGACAATAGAGACTGTGCCCATTTTTTACACGCCCTCTCTCCCGGGGACCTGAATGAACGGCCCCGTGAGGTCAGGCGGCCCTGACTTCCTGGCAGCCAGCTGTGCTTGCGGCTACGTACGGGATGTGGTGGAGGCACTGTTTTTAAAGAGTTCTGTGATTTCTAGATGCCATCACATTTTAATCTTCCTTACCCTTTTACTTTTTTACCTATTCATCCTTTTTTAATTTCATCTGTGGCATCAATAACAGATGTCACAAAGGCAATGTAAGAAAGAAGAAATAAAAGTGATTTAAACATGCAAAAAAAAAATAAAGAAAAATAAAGAAAAATAAAAAAGATTTAGCTGTGACAAATTGTGTTGCTATAGGCATGGGTGCACACATATCACTGTGGTATGATGCTTTCAGTTTTTCTGGAAAAATACACAGGAAGGGAATAGCTGGGTTAAATGGGTCCTCTAATCCTATTTTTTTTTTTTTTAAAGAATCTCTATACTGATTTCCATAGTGATAAAATCAGCATGGTACTAGCAAAAAAACAGACCTGAGAATCACTGGAACAGATTTGAAAGATGCAGACAAAACTATAAACTCAGCCACCTTATCATTGACAAAGGGGCCAAATATGTTCGCTGGAAGATAGCTGCTTAATAAATGGCACTGAGAAAAATGGCTTTCCACATGCTGAAGACTAAAATTAGACCCATGTCTATCACCATGCATTATAGTCAGAATGGATTAAAGATCTAAATATTAAAACAGAACACTAAATCTATTGGAGAAAGTATGTAGAAATCTTGAAGACATAGAGGTTAGACAGAGAATTCATGAACAAAAGCCAAACTGAATTGGAAATGCTTCAAAGAATCAACAACTAGGCTCTTACCTTATTGAAAAGATTCTGCACATCAAAAGAAATCACCAACAGAGTAAAAAGAAAATCCATGAATTGGGAAAAAATTTTAGCCAACTGTCCCTCAGGCAAAAGACTTCTATCTAGGGGCCAGGGAGATGGCTCAGTAGAATACATGCTTCCCTGGCAAGTGCAAGGGCCTGAATCCAATCCCCGAGTCCACAAAAATAAATAAACAAATAAATAAATAAGACTCTATCTAGAAATTATAAATAATTTTAAAATATCAGCCCCCCAAATTCAAAGCCCCAATCAAAAACTGGATAATTCTTTGTTGAGGGGGGCCAGCTTTTGGATACAGAATACTTAGCAATATCCCTGACTTCCATCCACTTCGTATCAGTATCATTCTACTCCCCAAGTTGTGACAAAAATGCCATTGCCAAATGTCCCTATTTGATATAAAATCATCCCCAGGTTAAGAACCACTGATTTGTTTCTGATTTCAGCATCACTATCCTAAATCATCCCCTGCAGAGCTTCTGGAGTTCTAAGCCTTACTACACAGCAATGAGGTCCTTGGGCTAGCAGCACTGGCCATCCCTTGGGAGCTCATTAGAAAAGCAGAATCACTCAGGCATGATGGTACACTCTGGGAGCTGAAGTAGAAGGATAGCAAAATACTGTCATCACCCCAAATGAAGACCACAAGCAGACGTTAGGCAGTCACTTCCCAGCCTTTCCCTAGAATGGAAAACACCAGAACATTAACTAAACTAACTGAAGATTTTAAAGATATAAATCAAATATCTAAAATATATATATATGTGTGTATATATATTTTATTTATTTATTTATTTATTTATTTATTTATTTTAAAGACTACATCTTGAGACCCAGAGCGCAGGCCCAGCATGTGAGGTGAGATAACTTGGGGCCCACGGATCCTGAATAGACCCAGAGCGCAGGCCCATTGGATCCTGAATAGACCCAGAGCGCAGGCCCAAGTGAGTGAGAGGACCCGGGGGGCCGCCGGATCCTGAATAGACCCAGAGTGCAGGCCCAGTGCGGAACCCTTCAGCAGAACTCCCAGCAAAGAGGCTAGAGGCAAGACCTATCCAGCTATTCAGGAGCAGAACATCTTGCCAGAGTGACACAAACGGTTCAGCTCTAACGGCTGCAGCAGAAAGCAGTGGA